TGTTTTGTTTTGTTTTTTTGTCTTTTAGATTTTATTTATTTGAGAGAGAGAGAGAGAGTGCATGTGCAGGGGGAGGGGCAGAGGGAGAGGGACAAGCAGACTCCCTGCTGAGCGGGGGCTGCCCCCATGGGGCTCAATCCCAGGACCCTGAGATCATGACCTGAGCCAAGGTCAGACGCTTAACCTACTAAGCCACTCAGGAGCCTCTCAACTGTAACTGTTTTTAGTCAGTATTTTAATAGCCACTTTACTGTCATTCTCTTCCACCTAATAGTTCTCTTTTTATCCCACAGTCCTGGCAAATCCTCATCCTGTACACAATATTCAGTTACTTTATGTGTTGGGCATATTATAAACTTCTTGGTTTACTCATCTTCACATCTTCCATTGCACTTTATCACAGTGCCATGCAAAAAATCAGTATGTGACAAATATTTGCTGAGTTGGCTTGCTTATTTATGTACTTATCTTTTCCACCCCACCCCAAGTTGATTTATCTTTAGAATTATGTGCTTTAAATTAAAATTCTTTCACTTAATTCATATGTGGATTCTCTCATATGTGATAATATAAATTTTGTGGCTCTTTTGTCTTCAGCTTTATCTATGTACCTAGTATGTGGCCATGTGCATAATCTTTTTTAGTGTCAGCCATATCAGTGTTATATCAGTGTTAAGAAAAATGCATGTGGGAATTCATTTTTATTTTTTTATTTTTTTTAAAGATTATTTGAGAGAGAGAGAATGAGAGATAGAGAGCACGAGAGGGAAGACGGTCAGAGGGAGAAGCAGACTCCCCGCCGAGCAGGGATCCCGATGCGGGACTCGATCCCGGGACTCCAGGATCATGACCTGAGCCGAAGGCAGTCGCTTAACCAACTGAGCCACCCAGGCGCCCTGCATGTGGGAATTAAAAAAAAAAACAAAAAACAAAAAACTCTAAGACCAATATTTTGTATAGAAAACTAGTAACTCTTGAACATGTGGTTTTGTGGTACATTTTTTGACAACTCTACTGGGTCAGCTTTCTTTTACTTAACAGATTTAACTGATCTGATTTAGGATTTATGTTTATATATAAAAGGTACATGTAGGGCTTCACAAAGTTCTTATAAGCAAGTTAAATTTTCTAATTTTTCTATATGTGATGGTTTTTTTTTAAGATTTATTTTATATTAAAAAGAGTGCACAAGTGGTGGGGAGAGGGAGAGGGAGAGAATCCTCAAGCAGACTCCCTGCTGAGCGCAGAGTGTGATGCAGGGCTCAATCCCAGGACCCTGAGATCATGACCTGAATCAAAACCAAGACTCAGACACTTAACCAACTGAGCCACCCAGGCCCCCCAAGATGTTTTTAACTTAAAAATCACAAACTATTTTTTATTTGAATATAAATGACAAAAGCATTAAATCCTAATTATAGGGGCGCCTGGGTGGCTCAGTCGTTAAGTGTCTGCCTTGGGCTCAGGTCATGATCCCAGGGTCCTGGGATTGAGCCCCACGTCGGGCTCCCTGCTCCACGGGAAGCCTGCTTCTCCCTCTCCCACTCCCCCTGCTTGTGTTCCCTCTCTCGCTGTGTCTCTCTCTGTCAAATAAATAAATAAAATCTTTAAAAAAAACCTAATTATTAAGTGGATTTTACAAAACATCTATGCTTATTAAAGGACGTAGTGGTGGCAGTGAGATGAATTAGAGGTTATTAATATTCAGGCAAGTGGCAATGAGGACTCAAAGTAGTGGTAAAAGAAATGAAGTCAGTTCTAGATAAATTACAGAGCTGGCATTGACAGGAATTGTCACATGGTAAGCTTTCAGGAATTAGATACTTGTTAAAAGCAAGTCAGGCAATGGCTATTTCTAGATAATTGCTTAATGCCATGCTAAATATTGCCCAAGGGTTCTCAACCTCCAGTAGATTCATACCATCTTGCTCTTTCCCCATGATTAACTTCCCCCATCTTATCGACCCTTTAAGATTGAGATTGCGCTTATATCCTGTCTTCAGAAGTCCTCTTCAGGTGCTTTCCAAGTGGGAGTAATGCTCAACTCTTTCAATACAGTCTTTATCTCATTTTTTATAATTATTATTTACTACCTAATATTTGTCTTTCTTGTGCATCTTTTTTAGGTATTGCCTTATCTGTAATTAAATGGGTCATTTTGAGTTTTTATCTTCAATAGATGAAGACATAATCCAATATCAAGTTAGATAAACTGCTTTCTTTATAACTTCAGGTTAAAACCAAAAAAGACCCTGTATTTATCTACGTTCTTAGAAAACAGCTCTTTTTTGTGGTCTCTAAATTTAGATTTGCATCAATAATGTTTTTGGGGGAAAATGATCACAGCCCAAAGGCTAACATTTATAAGACCGTGCTTAGACTTCTGCAGCCGCATTCTCATCACTGTATGATTTTACTTCAGTTTCTTTATGGTTTACTGGTATGTCCTTGGATTGTGAAACACAAAGGACTGATCTTTCTGTTCTTTGAGAGACTGACATCTTAAATGGTGAAACTGTTTGCATAATGTTCCAGAATTCATTGAAGTTTGCAGCACAGCCATGAGAATGGTTACACTCTATAAATCAGGGTCCTAGAAAGCAGTGCTTATGTGAGGCTTTCTTTAATCCCCCAAATTATACCATTCCAAGAAGCTTTTCCACAGCATGCTGCAGCTAGTGTTTATATGTGACTAGCATCTCAATTCGCTCTTAAATAGAATTTACCTTCATGAGTATATTTCCATGACTCTTAATATATTGAAGACCTATTTAAAGGGTTTATTTATGGTTGCATATGTAATTTTCTTTGAGTAGTTTTCTTTTTTCCAGAGTAATACTAATTTTCAAAATCTGATCAGAGATGCCAAAAATCCTTTTTAGAATGTAAACAGTTAAACTTGTCAGAATCAAATCATACGACAATAAACATCAACAACAACTACGTCGCTTCAAGTATTTGGTAATATTTTTGAGCTCAGTCCAGTAAGGGAAGCGGTTGGATAATAGCAAGACACAGCATTTTAGAAAATTTTCATATCATTATTATAAACATCATTGTTATTATATCATCAAATCCCTAACATTTATTGTTTTTACTATGTGCAGTGTACTAGGCACTCTACACACTTTGTCATTTAGTTCTTTTTAAAAAAGCACATTATTAGGTTTATAGTTATCCACATTTTACAGGGGAGTATCTCTCGAAAGTTGGGAAGGTTACTTGTCCATGATCACCAAGCTAGTAAGAACCAGAGCCATGACTCCAGAGCTTTTGCGTGCTCTGTGAGATATAAGCAAGACTACATTCTACATGAAGGCCAGAGCTCTGGTTTGCTTCTCACTTTCACACCTGTGCATAGCATAATGCCTGGCACCTAGTGGATGATGTATAATAAGTATTTTTTAGATAAATTTGCTTCTCATAGAATAATAACAATGGCAGAACCCTCCAGGAAGGCTAGGCCTCGTCCTTGTAGTTTGGGTGAATATATTCCAGGAATCCCATATTAGAACACATTGGAACTCATCAGTTGGATGCATTTTCACAGAGAAACATTGTATGTGGCAAAAAGATTCAAGACTGAATTCTTGCAGTTACATGGGTCCTTCTACACTGATCTGACAATTCGACTGCCACTGGATGGCGTGGCTTCCATAGACTTTTTAGACAGTTTTCAAGTGGACTTTGGGAATAAAGCTCGGTAGGTAAGCTGGAAGTTGTGGCCATGAAAGGGACATGATGGGCTTTCCCTTGGGAACTCAAGAGTCACCATTAAGAGTATTGGCTAGAGTTTTTAGGACCTCAGTGTACAAAAAATGAGAAAAGTTGAGCTTTTCTAGGGATGGAAGGATGGAGGACCCTGAATGGCCCAGCTTTTCTGTTTCCTTTCTTTCTGCCTCCCCCTTACCTCTTACAGCAGCTTCTTAAAAGTGATTTGAGAAGCCTTAGGATGATAATCCCTTCCACAGGCTTAGAAAAGTTCAGTGACATCCTGCAGTCGCACAGCTATTCCAATCACAGTTTGTGGCAGGGGACTAGATTTGACTCCCCATGTCTAGAGCTTTACAGCTTTCCAGCTCTATTATACATTCTTTCAAGCACTGTTTAAATCGGATAATTAAATCTTTATGTAACAACTTTATTGTTTTATCTGAATAACTTTACATGTTCACAACCTTATGAGTAGGAAGGACAGTATGTTTTTACTCTTCCTGTCTTAGAGATCAAGACTTAGAGCCATGTCACACAGCTAACAAGTTGCAGAACCAGGACGTAAAACTGGATTTTCTTAGCATGAGATCCGGAGTTGGGCTCACTTTAAGTGAACTGTGCAGCCAGACTAGAAGCCAGCTGGAGCCAAGCAAGCCTCTTGGTTGTGTGATGGTCAAGTGGGATGGGTGGGCCACTTGGGAAAGGAGGAGGTTTAAGCTCTCAATGGAGGGAACACATAGTGGGTAAAATAAGGGGGTAGGTTTTGTGAACTAGCTGCAATGAGTGTACAACATGTGAATTTTACTGAGCTGACAAGGTGGAAAGGAGCACTTCCTTGGACCTGGGTTGGAGTCTTTCTCATTACTCACTAGATGTGTAACCCTAGGCAATTCAGCTGGATCTTTCTGAGCCTTCGTAGTCTTATCTGTAAAGCGAGGATAATAATATTAATCTACGGAACCCTGCTCTGACTGCCCAAAAGCTTTCTTTGCTTGTTTCCTTCTGGGTTCTTCTGTGTCAGTATTTTTAGCGGCTACATAGCTGAATCATGACCTGGTTACATATGTTGCAATACTGAATGCTGAAACCCTGGAAGCACTACTGGAAGGGCAACAGAGAAAGAGACACCAGCTGCCAGGGACTGAAGAGAACATTTATTACTCTCATGACAGATTTGATCCCCAACCAATCTCCAGTCTGGTTCTCACTTTCTGTTTTGGTGGTTATCTTTGAAATAGTAAGTAGTGAATTGTTCCATTGTTAATTAATGCTTTTATTTTTTCTAGTTGTATAAATTTGGAGAGACAGTTTCTATTGTGTTTTGGACAGACACTTGGAGACCAGAAAGCTTCTTTGACAAAGTGAAGAAGAACAGAGAAAATGGCATGCACACATTATGCTTACTAGGTAAGGGTTTGGGAATTGCCTTGAAGTCACAATATGGAGTTGTCATAGTCTCATTTTGTTCTGCAGATAACTAGCTAGAGGTAAGAAAGGACCCAGTCCAGCCACTCTGCATGCTACACACTTTCCCATACTCTCTGGGAGATATACATTTTCTGCTCCAAACACCACATGGGTATTCATGCATACCATAGTGCATGCTCCTCCCCTCTTATGTCCTAATGGATTCTCTCCATCATTCTGTATCTTACCCATTTATCCATCAGGACACTGTTGTCAGTTTACTGCAGTTCAATAGACCTGCAGTAAGCATTTATTTTTACCAAGCACCATCCTATATCTTCCTAGAGATGTTCTTTGAATACTACAGTATTGATGCTATCAGAATTACAGATCTGAAAGAGACTCTGGAGATCATCTTATTGAAGCCCATTTTATAGATGAAGTTGAGGCCCAGAGATATTAAATCATTTGCCCACTGTGTTACCCAGTTTTATCAGTGGCAGAATTGGTAGAATCAAGATAACCTGTCATTCAGCTTTTTACTGTATCTTGCTGTACTTTATGTCCTTTGTAGAGTTAGGTTTTTTTTGGAATACTAAGGAAATACTAGACATGAGTCCTGTCCTCAGGGTTTTGAAATGTAGTTGCTACGTACACTAAAGTTTAAAGAACAATTAAATTCTGTTATATGGAGAGGCAGGAAGGACAAACCAGAACTTCGGGTCTTGAATTCTCTAAGAGCTGCCCCTTTTCTTGGCTTTCCTGGGAAAAGGCAAACAAGGTTAAACAATATATCTTCCTTGCTCCATGAACAAAAGCAGGAACAATGTGTGAAGTATAAGATACCATGATTCCAGATCCTCAAACCATAGATCTCGTCATTTAATCATCTGGAATTCTCATCATTTAAATTAGTATATATTTATTGGATGCCTGTTACGGTCCAGACCCTGTAGGGATTAATGAGAATATACCATGTTAGGAAACTACAGAGAATTTAAAATGTACTTGGAAAGACAAGATATATATGATACAATTAGAGATTAACAAAATATAATAATAACTATGTACATATTTCAAAGAACAAGGAGCTTTTGAGGGGAAGTTAACATAGGTTTTATGAAGAAGTTGGGACATATGCTACTGAAGGGGTACTTTAAGATGGGCTGGTGGGTGAGTGGTAGTAGAGCCACATGAATAAATTTATTCAGTAGACATTTATGGAGTATCTACTGGGTATTTTGCATTATTCTAGATGCTCCTAAGGTGAATAGGAGATGCTTATCTTCTAGCAAGTAGAAGTAGAAAGGGATACTTGTGGCCTGTGTGAAGACAAGGGAAAAATGTTAAGACTGGTCTGGCTTGATTTTTAAATGCAGTTCATTAAAAAAGCATTTATCTGTAAAAATTCTCCCCAACACTCTTTTAAAACCAGGTTCTGTAGAACATATCATTTAAAAAGTTAAAATATTGAACTAAAAACTTTATTACCACAACGTTTCAGAAGCTCAAGGTGACTAAACTAATAAATGTGTTGAATTTTAAAAAATCTTAATAGATACCATGTAAAGGAAGTCTTAAGTTGACATATACTTAATTGTACTACAGACCAGTTTCAATAACCAATATGAATTTTTTCTTCTATGTACTAGACAAGTAGAAATATTAAATTAATGATATTTTGAACCTGAAAAGTACATTCACCGCTGGTTCCAAGAACATTTACAAATACTTGTAAGGGATTAACCTCTGCTACATTTTCCTAGGAAACTCTTTTAGTCTCCTTTATAAGAACAACTTTGATAATCACTTAGGAAAGCTGTAGAAGTCTTTCAGAAAGACCCTACAGTTGCACTGTATTTATTTTTGCAAAAGCAAACTTTGGCTGAACCGTTTGTTTTTAGCATGTAGAACAGGAAGCAGCTGTTGCTCTTGCTGTTGTATACTGAGTTCCTGTGAGGATGTAGAGCGCCTGTGCTTTTTTACCTTTTACCAGATTGTTCGGCTGAGCATCAGTGATTAACAAGTGTAAAGAATCAAATATTTGTTACACTTGCATTCCAAGCTTCCAGGGAGCAGAGATTATGTGCATTCTGGCCCCTGTGGTAGCCCCGTCCCTGGCAGTCAGTGCTTGGGAAAGCCCTTTCATTGAAAGTATGAATGATATTAAAGTGCTTATTTGTAAGTTATTAGTCCTGTCTTACCCATTTGCAAAAAAGCAAAGGTTTCTTTTCAAAATGTGGTGAGAATTTTCTTATTACGTTACATGCATTAAAGCTTACATCCTTGTGCCTGAAAAATAGGTAAAGAATAGGAACATAACAAGACTTCTCAGTTGAGTCTATGTGGTTACCAGCTAGTAGAAATGAACACAATGATTTTGATGACCTGTTAGGTAGTGTATATGCCAATATTTATCAAACTCTTTCCTGTGTCTTCTTTTCCAAGAGGAAATTGGATCCTTTCAGGATGGTCTCAGGGCCAACCTCATGTTTGTTTTCTAATGATCTTTACACAACACAAGCTTCCATTCTTCTATTTCCATAAAAAAGTGGCTAGATACAAGTATGAGGGAAGATTGTCATAAGCTCTCAAATGAACATTTTGGAGACTTGAGAAGAATGTTTCCCAAAAATTTAGGTGACTCAACTGAATTTTACACACAGGGTTTTGGATAGTTAATTAAAAGAGAACTATTTTTTGCTTCCTACAGACATCAAAGTAAAGGAGCAATCTTTGGAAAATCTAATCAAGTAAGTTCTTATTCTGAGAATGTTTACATCTATTTTTAATTCCTTGAACAATAAATTCTACTTAAACAACATGAGTTTTAAAGATTGTTGAAAATCAGCTTTCAGGGACGCCTGGGTGTCTCAGTCTGTTAGGTGTCTGCCTTAGGCTCAGGTCATGACCCCAGAGTCCTGGAATCGCGTCCCGCATTGGTCACCTTGCTCAGTGAGGATCCTGCTTCTCCCTCTGCCTGCCGCTCCCCCTGCTTGTGCTCTGTCTCTCTCGCTCTCTGACAAATAAATAAAATCTTTTAAAAAAAATCAGCTTTCATTAACAGTTAAAAATTTAAACAATCTTATGAAATGAGAAAACACTGTGATAGGGCAGAGATAGCACATCTCACAGATTCAGTACTGAGACTGGTGGCTGGCACCTAATAGGCACTCTGTAATTTTTCTGGAATGAATTAATGAATTGGAAGTCAGAAGACATGGATTTGAGTCCTGAGTCTGTTCCTGGTTATGTGCCCTTAGACAAGTTACTTCGGTTTCTGAGTCATATTTTTCTCATATGTATAATGAGAATTATAATCCTTTTTTGGCCTATAGGGGCAATGTGCAATAGTACAGTAGCTACTACCCACATTTGACTAATGAGCACTTGAAATATGGCTAATGTAACTGAGGAACTGAATTTATAATTTAATTTTTTTAAGATTTTATTTGTCAGAGAGAGAGCACAAGCAGGGGGAGCGGCAGGCAGAGGGAGAAGCACGTTCCCCGCTGAGTGAGGAGCCTGATGCAGGACTCAATCCCAGGACCTGAGCCGAAGGCAGATGCTTAACTGACTTGAGCCACCCAGGCGTCCCTATAATTTGAGTATTATTAATACTCAACTTAGTTATTGGAAAAGTATATTTAGGATAACTTTAATATGTAAATCTACTTTTATAACCATGAATTTTATGGAATTTAAATGCAGATTAGGTATTCTAATGAAAATTTAATACTTGAATTAATATGTGCTGCAAGTATGAAATAGCAGATGTCAGAAACTTAGTACAAAAACAATCTCTTTAATAATTTTTATAGGAGTAAATGTTGAAATATATTTTGGATCTATTGGGTAAACTAATATTAAAGTTAATTTTGCCTTTTTTTTTTTTACCTTTTTTAATATGGCTACTAGAAAATTTAAAATTATGTTTGTGGTTTGCATTACATTTCTCTTGGACAGTGCTGACTTTAGAGAATTGTTTTGAGAGTCAGTAAAATATATGAACTGTTTTGTAAGCTACAAAAACAGTATTTTTATTATGCTCATTGGGCAGACATGGTAGGCTTCGAGCCATCAGAAGTAAACACATACAATCGTCCAAGATTTTCAGATATTTATCGCTTTAGTTTACTTTTCTTAGAGGAAGAAGTGAAAAGAGGAATATGTGGCTTAAACATGGTAATAAAAGTGAACACTATAGAACCTGATTAAGCAAGGATCTAGAACAAATTGCCACTTAACTTGAACTATTTTCGCCTAGGGTATCACTTAAATAACAGTAACTTTGACTTGAACATTTATCATTAAGTTGTTGGGCTTTTATTTCTGCCAGCATTTTAGTGAGATGAGAGGATAGTTGAAGTAGAAAAATGAAAAAAGCTTAAACTTAAAAAATTATGGTATTCATGCTTTAGTATGCTTAAAGTGGGTAATGTGCAAATGCTTCAAACAGAATATGGACTGTGGTACTTGACCATACCTGGGGGAATAATTGCATTAAAAATGTATTAATGTAGTTTCATGGCTGAGAACAGTGCCATCTAGTTTTATACTTACAGAGGAAGGAAGATCTATGAACCTCCTCGGTATATGAGCGTAAACCAAGCAGCCCAGCAACTTCTGGAGATTGTTCAGAATCAACGAATACGAGGAGAAGAACCAGGTACTCAAGGCCCTAAAAGGGTTCTCATATTCCCTACTGCTGCATTAAGATATGTACATGATACAACTTCACACACACACCACCACCACCACCACCACCACCACCACCACCAAGGAAGCAAGGGTCAGTGTGTTTGCACTGTACTTTTTCTTGTCATTTTTTAAATCAATTTTAACTTAAATTTCATAGGCTGAAAGTTGTACTGAAGGAAAAATAATGGAGTTCCTCCTAGGAAAATTAATACCATTCCAGAAAGTGAGGGTTTTTCACAAATTAACTGTAAATCAGATTTTATGTAAATATGTTAATATGTAAGTATTTAGGTAAAATGCAGAACTTCCTTTTTAGCCTTAATCTGTATATGGTGAGATCTATCCTGCAAAAAATACACTTATTCTGCTTTTCCTCTTTCACAACACTGAGACCAAGGATAGTCTTCTTCAGGATAAAAAGAAGAGAATTTATCCTTATAGTCTTAACACTTTGCCGCAAATGTGTACTGTGGACTTGGTTGGACCATTACACACCTTAATTATCACAGGAGACAGCATGCATCTACTGGAGATGGAGATAACTAAGTCTGTTTTCCGTACCAGACTGTATGTGGTATATAATGAAGTGTTGGTCATCAGTAAATCTTTATTGAGAAGTTCTTTAATGAAACTGTCATATTCTGTTATAAGGTGCTGACTGCCTTTGAGTACCTATCTCTTGATGGAAAAAGATACATGAAGAGATTCTTGAATGACTGTTGATTTTTTCTCATTAGTAGGCCTTGTTAAAGTCATGAAACAAATAATTTGCAAGGGTGTTCCATATTCATAATTTTGTACACTTAAGCCTAAACTTGCATGCCTGCTTGTTCTTGTAATATCATATGCCCCATTTTGATCATGTTCCATTGGGACAGCTTTCCTAAGTAAACAAAACCATCAGAAGGTTGGTACTTAAAAGCATAAGTAATGTCATAGCCTGTTATTTGTTCGGGGCTCTGTAGTTTACTAAATTCTTTCATGTCTGTTATCTTATCCCTTACAACCACCATTTAAGAAAGATAGTATTCTTGTTTTAAAAATGAAAAAACTAAAGTTTGACGTAGCTGATTAGATGGCCAAGCAAAAAATCAAATCTGTGTATTTATCTCATAATCCCCTTGTTTTTCTAATATATCTTGGTCAGTGTGAACATATCTCAAGCAACTTATTGAAAAAACAGGCAGGTAATAAACACTGTTCACTCAGAAGCTGTTTAAAGACAAATGCTATGCAATCGTAAAGAGTATGGATATACGTAATTGTTTATCAAGTCCTGAAAACTTAAATGAGGGCAAGCCTTTAGAATTCTGAAAGAGTAAAGTTAGGAAGTACCACTTTACACGTCAGGTAGTTCATATAATTTAGAAAAGCGTTAGATAAATCAATAGGTAATTGGTCTGTAATGATTTAAGGAGATTTAAGATATTTGGGGCTTCTTTAAATGTACTTTTTGTACTAATGTTTAAATGTTGGACAGGATAATGCATTTGCTGAATTGAACGGCACTGTTTTTTTCTTCTCTTAATAGCAGTCACTGAGAAGACACTCTGTGTTGGCTTAGCCAGGGTTGGAGCCGAAGACCAGAAAGTTGCAGCAGGCACTTTGCAGCAGATGTGTGCTGTGGACTTGGGAGGACCATTACACTCCTTAATTATCACAGGAGATAGCATGCATCCACTGGAGATGGAGATGCTAAGTCTGTTTTCCATACCAGAAAATAGCTCAGAATCCTGTTGATGAACTTCATGAACATAGACATTTTCTATTGTTAGATACTAATTTCAGTCATATATGCATGTACACATACTGTAAAATGAACAGTTCTTTTGGTTTACCTAATAATTATAAAGCAAGTGACCAAGAAGAGAGATGTTGATTCAACAATACTTGGTTTCCTGTGGCAGTGAGTTTTTTTTTCCCCCCTAGAACATCATCAATTGTTGCTGTATTAGTAGTTTTTCAGGATAAACACACATGGGGCAGACCAAGCCTGAAAACTTGCAGAGACATTCATAAACAGAGTTGTTTAAAAGCAGTTTTTACTTATGAAATGAATTTATACAACGTGGAACTTTCTTAAAAAGTCAGCTGTCCTGGGCACCTGGGTGGCTCAGTTGGTCAAGTGACTGCCTTCGGCTCAGGTCGTGATCCTGGAGTCCCGGGATCAAGTCCCACATCAGGCTCCCTGCTCGGCGGGGAGTCTGCTTCTCCCTCTGACCCTCTTCCCTCTCATGCTCTCTATCTCTCATTCTCTCTCTCTCAAATAAATAAATAAAATCTTTAAAAAAAAAAAAAAGTCAGCTGTCCTGACCATAAGATGAGTTGTCCTGATAGCAGTTGGTATTACTGCATATAAGCAGAGGTGGGAAGGATAAGTCCCACCCAACAGTCCTACTTACTTGAAGATCAGCTGAGCACATGCCACAAAATGACATCCTTCTGAATTGCCTTGTTTTGTTTAGCTGACATCCTAATTATGTGGTTCATATTCTGCTGTAGTTTGGAGGTTATATAATTGTTGAATTATAAATGTTCAGCCAGCCGTGTACAGTTGCTGTTTGGTTTTAAATAGCATCTTTCACATCCATCTTGACAAATGGAAAACTTACTACAAAATACAGTTTTAAAAAATTTAAATTTGGAGGCAGTGGGTTAGTCAAGATTTGTCATATCACTTAGCTCAGTTGATATGCCACTGTATGTATGCATGTAGTCACATTCTTTCTCCCAGTTGTAAATAGCACTCCATGTATTATATTTCATGACTGTAGAGTCTTGTACTTTTTGGTAGTTCCATAACAGAAATAGCTTTGCTATATGCCAGTTTAGTTGGTCTAACTTTAACTCTTTCCATGGCTTAATCAACCATAGCTTAAATTTCGTTAAATTCATTGGAAGTTGAATGTACACTTTCCTACTTCCGGGGAGCAATGATTAACAAGAAATCATTTTGACATTTTTCTTTTCTTTTTTAAGTAGTCTCCATGCCCAGCGTGAATCAGCCCAACACAGGGCTTGAACTAACGACCCTGAGATCAAGAGCTGAGCTGGAATTAAGAGTCGGAGGCTCAACCAGGCGCCCTTGACTTACTTCATTTGAGATAAAAGATACTTCATATATATATGAAATACTCCATTTTTAGTCTGTTACACAAAAGGGGAGAGAGCCAAGGACATTTAAGTGCTAATTCTGTGTTTTCTTCTGAAGCTTTAAAGCAAGCATTGAATAATTATTATAAAAGGAAAGACTTCTACCTTTGTAATGTACAAGCCCTCCCAAAAAATGCTGGACAAATATAACTGCCTAAAGACACGGGGTAATGACCAAAAGCAGGCTGAGACTTAGGCTTATATATATAGCTTTTTCCCTCAGGACATTTCCCAAGTCTGTCCGGTAAGGGATGGCTAGAACTCAAGAGAAGGTTGCAGTCTTACTGGTTTGAGGGCTCAGAGAAGTTGGGGGCTGCTAGAGGACCTGTATATTGAGGAGGAAATTCTAGAAATGAAGGTGGCACTGAAGGAGAAGCCAACCTTCCAATCTACATACAAATCTCTTAACTCTTTGGCTAACTCCTGAATTGTGCTTGTACAGGGAAGTCTCCCTGAACCTGGTGGAAAGCCAGAGCTGGAAGGCTGAAAAATCTGAGCAGAGCTTGTTGCTCTGTAGTGCAAGAGAAAACAGAATTTCGAGTTTGAATCCTGACAAGTTAGAAGGCTTGGTAAGCATCTTAGGCTTTCTGTCAAATCCGTAGAATGGGGCGCCTGGGTGGCTCAGATGGTTAAGCGTCTGCCTTCGGCTCAGGTCATGATCCCAGAGTCCTGGGATCGAGTCCCGCATCAGGCTCCCTGCTCCTTGGGAGCCTGCTTCTCCCTCTGCCTCTCTTTCTCGCTCTCTCATGAATAAATAAATAAAATCTTAAAAAAAAATCCGTGGAATGGCCATGTATTGGAATGAATGGCATATATTGCCCAGGACTAAGGATTTGCATTGAAACTAAAGACAAAACCTTTAATATAAAATCAATCCTCCATAAAATTAAGGTGAGTAGTCAATAATTTAACCGCCTATTGGAACATATCATAACACTTCCAGGGTGTGATAACAAAATGAGTCTTTAGCATATCAACAATGACTAGAATATAACACAGTCAAAGAAACAGGAAAATGTGATTTATAGTCAAAAGCAGGGGAAAAAAACACAGTAGAAAGAGATCCTAACATAATCCAGATCTTGGAATTAGATGGGAATTTTAAAACAGAACTAGACTCAAAGATGAAAAGGAAAAATGGTTGTAATGAATGTATATGGATGGGTGCTGTCAGAGAAATGGAAACAAAAACCCAAATGGTTGGACTTAACAGCAGAGTGCAGACAGATAGAAATTACCCTATCTGAAGAATAAAGAATAAAAAAAGGTTGGAGGGAAGAAAAAAAGCACAGAGCCTCAAAGCCACGTGGGGTGATATGCAGCAGTTCAGTGCATATGGAACTGGATTTCCAGAAGGAGAAGAGAGAGAAAATAGGGCAGAAAAAAGATGAGTTAAGTAAAGGTCAAAATTTTTCCCAAGTTTGGTGAAACTATAAATACATAGATCCAGTAAGCTCAGTGAACTCTAAGTAGAATAAATACAGAGAAAACACCTAAGACATCGTAGTTAAAACTGATGAGAACCAAAGATAGGAGAAAATCTTAAAAGCCACCATGAGTGGTAGTAGGGAACCCACTACATGCAGGGGAGCAATAAATGTTGGCTGGTTCACCTTAGAAACAATGGAGGTCATGAGACAACAGGAAGAGATCTATGAAGTACTGAAATTAAAAAGCAAAGCCAACCAAACCCTACCAATCTATATCCAGTAAAAACGTCCTTTAAAAATGAAAGCAAAATAAAGCAGTCAATAAAAATAGAATTTGTCACTAGCAGACCTATAAGGAAAGCTGAGGGAAGACTTTTAGGCTGAACGTAAAAGACATTAGATGGAAGGAAATAGTATGTGAGTATAAAAGAATTTTTTCTTAATGTTTTTAAAAGATAACTGAATTTAGCATGGTATACTGGTGTATAGTTAGGTTTCAACAATACAAGTTACAGGAGTTAAAGGGTATTATACAGTGTCAGTTCTTACATTTTACTTAAACCGGTGGAATACTGGAATGCCTGGGTGGCTCAGTCGGTTACCAACGGCTCCCTTTGGCTCAGGTCACAATCCCAGGGTCCTGGGATGGAGTCCCGCATCAGGCTCCCTGCTCAGCGGGAAGTCTGCTGCTCCCTCTCCCTCTGCCTGCTGCTTCCCCTGCTTGTGCTCTCTCTCTGTCAAATAAAATCTTTTAAAAAAAAAATAAAGTGGTGGAATACTAACTATAGACTGAAAAGGTTATGTATGTTATGTATTAAAATCCCTTGGCAACTGCTATAAAAAAATAAGGCAGAAGTAAAAAAAAAATTAGAGGAATTAAAATTGGATACTGAAGGAGATTTATTCAAAAAAGGCAGGAAAGCAGGAAATATAAGTAAAAAATATATAGGACAGATAGCAAAATGGTAGGCCTAAATTCAACCCAACTAGTAATTAAATGTAAATCAAACACTCCAATTAAAAACTAGATTTTTTTAAAGGGCCAACTATATATTGTCTACAAGAGTTAAAATTTAAAGACACAACATGAGGAAAAATAGAACATACAAACTGTAAGCATAAGAAAACAAGTGGCTATATTAATATAAGACAAAATAGACTTTAAAAGAAGGAGTACACTGGAGATAGACTTTCATAAAAAAGGGATAGTTCATCAAGAAGATATAATCCTAAATGTGTCTTCATCGAATACCAGCTTCAAAATACACAAGGCAAAAACTGACAAAGGAGGTACAGACAAGTCTACAATCAGTTGAGGATTTTAATGAACCTCTTAGCAACTGATAAACTAACAAAAATATTGATGATTTGAACAAAAAGCATTTGGACCAAACTGATACTGCTAGATCACTACATGCAATAGTGGTAGAATAGACATTATTTTCAAGCATGTATGAAACGTTCAGCAAAGTAGATCATATGCTTGGCTATTAACCACAATTTATCACTAACAAAAAACTGTCTAGAAAAGTCTTAAATATTTGGGAATAAAACATTTAACTGAATAAAAAAACAAAATGTGAAAATTTGTGGAATGCAGATGAAAGTGCCTAGAAATTTATAGCTTTAGAAGCTTATATTAGAAACGAAGGAAGTTTTAAAATCAATGCTTTGGGCGCCTGGGTAGCTCAGTTGTTGAGTCTGCCTTCGGGGAGTAAGTCAGAGGGGGAGACGAACCATGAGAGACAATGGACTCTGAAAAACAAACTGAGGGTTCTAGAGGGGAGGAGGGTAGGGGGATGGGTTAGCCTGGTGATGGGTATTAAAGAGGGCACATTCTGCGTGGAGCACTGGGTGTTATGCACAAACAATGAATCATGGAACACTACATCAAAAACTAATGATGTAATATATGGTGATTAACATAACAATAAAAAATTAAAAAGAAGAGTCTGCCTTCGGCTCAGGTCATGATCCCAGGATCCTGGGATTGAGCCCCACATCAGGTTCCCTGCTCTGCGGGAAGCCTGCTTCTCCCTCTCCCACTCCCCCTGCTTGTGTTCCTTCTCTTGCTGTGTCTCTCTCTGTCGAATAAATGAATAAAATCTTTTTTAAAAAAATAAAATCAATGATCTGTTTCCATCTTAGCTAGAAAAAAAGAAAAGTATATAAAAACTAGGAAGGAAATACTGAATATCACAGCAGAAATCAGTGAAATAGAAAATGGACAATAAAAGCCAATGGAATGTCAATTTTAAAGGCTAACAATGGTAACATTTGCAAGGATATGGAGTAACTGAAGTTTGCCTGCTGTTGGTAGGAATATAAATTGGCACA